TTGTTTCCACCCCAGGTGCTCTCATTCTTTTTGCTGTAGTCTTTCCTTGTGCCCGCGTTCACCCGGTGTAAATTGCCAACGCGCCGCCTTTCGCCGGCTTCGTGCCCGCCATTGTTCCCTCAGTATGCCCCTGTCGTTACCTCTGGCGTTCGCTCGTGCTTTGTCTCTGTCGCCGCGTCCGCCGCTGCTTCTGGCGTGCTCTTGCCGTTGCTTCTGGCGTTGCGTGTCCTTGCTCCTGCCGATGCTCCTGGCGCACCACCAATCTTCGGCCATGGTTATCGCCAAGTGCGCACCCTGGATACGCTTGGTCTGAGCCGGGTTGGTTACTCAAAGTGTTTCCTGTTGACTAACGAAATCTTTTTACCCGGTGATACGACAGTTTCGTATATCTCTATGCGACATTATTTCATCTTGTATACGAAGTTTATATTGGAAAATAAGTTAGGCTGTTATCTGTGCTTTATCCTTCTCATGGTATGTTCGCGAGTCATCACAGACTTACGCACCATCCAAAAGTCATAAATGAAACGGCTGCATGCAGTATTTTTCAATTCCGGAGTTGCAGGCTCACAAAAACAGAAGCGCTGGAGCGTCCAATTTCTAGTTAGACTCACATCCTTTCTTACCGATATGTACTATGATTGTCATCCTCCAGTTTTCTGGATTGGATGGGATTGGGTTCATTAAACTGTTCACTGCCATCCTATTGGCGCACTGTGGGTACGGTATGCAAATCAGGAAAAACGACGTTTTCTTGTTGGCTAGTCTGAAAGCGACCATCACTTTCATTGGATATCCCCGCCAGTCCGAAAACACCCCATATTAAACACTCCGGCCCTCCTACCTCTGTCTTGGACAGCAACCTTTTGCTCTTCCAAAACGAATCATGTTTGGCGCAACCAAGGATTTTATTGGAAAGCCTGCTCCTCCCAACTATGTAGCTGGTCTTGGCCGTGGTGCTACTGGCTTTACAACACGATCGGACATTGGTCCTGCCAGAGAAACGGGAGAATTTGGACAGTAAGAACAACATTGACTTTTTTTTTTGGTTAATCTGGAATGGATCCCATTTTCGAGCGGAAGAGAGGGAAGAAAAAAAAAGATTAACTTAGAATTTTAATAGAGATGCCAAACGTGAAGACGGCAAAGCAGGCGATGACGATGACGACGAGCGATACCAAGACCCCGACAATGAAGTGGGTCTGTTTTCAGGCGCACCGTACGAAGAGGACGATGAAGAAGCTGATAGAGTATGGGCCATGATCGACACTAAGATGGATGAGAGGCGGAAAGCACGCAGAGAAGCCAGAGAACGTGAGGAGCTGGCACGGTATCGACAAGAGCGACCAAAGATTTCACAGCAGTTCGCGGATCTAAAGCGACAACTCTCGACGATCAACGAAGCCGAGTGGGCGGCAATTCCGGATGTGGGCGATCTGGTCGGCAAGAATCGAAAGCGCAACAAAATGCCAGAGCGATTTACACCATTACCTGATACGATTTTGGCTGCGGCTCGCGATCGATCGGGCTATGAGACGACGTTGGATGAGCAACAACAGAAAGACGGCTTCGCGACTCCAGCGGACGGGACAATGACCAACTTCAGAGAAATTGGTCAGGCAAGAGACAAAGTGCTCGGTCTCAAGCTGGATCAGGTCTCGGACTCAGTTTCTGGCCAGACAACGATCGATCCAAAGGGCTACCTCACCGATCTCAGCAGCGTTGTGATCAAGAGCGATGCCGAAATCGGCGATATCAAGAAGGCTCGGCTCTTACTCAACTCGGTCATTACAACGAATCCAAAGCACGCACCAGGGTGGATTGCGGCCGCTCGTCTGGAAGAGGTGGCTGGTCGACCTGTTCAGGCACGAAGCATCATTGCCAAGGGTTGTGAGCAATGCCCGAAGAACGAAGACGTTTGGCTAGAATCGGCACGTCTGAATGTAAGCCGTTCTTCTGACCCAGCTGACGGAATACGTGCTTAGTTGATTATTATTTATTTAGACGGTCGAAAACGCAAAGATCATCCTGGCAAATGCCGTGCGACATCTGCCTCAGTCCGTGAAGATTTGGCTGAAGGCGGTTGATCTAGAAACGGACTCTAAGGCCCAGAAACGGGTCCTGCGTCGTGCTCTCGAATTTATTCCCAACTCTGTCAAGCTGTGGCGTGCAGCGGTCAACATGGAAGAGAATCCCGAGGATGCAAAGGTACTCCTTTCACGTGCGGTGGAGCTTGTGCCGCTCAGTGTTGAATTATGGCTTGCTCTTGCTCGACTGGAAACATATGACAACGCACGTCGGGTACTCAATAAGGCACGCGCTGCTGTCCCAACCAGCCATGAGATTTGGATTGCTGCTGCGCGGCTGGAAGAGCAGCATGATAAAGTTGAAACAGTCGACCGTATCATCCAAGTGGCTGCGCGAGCTCTGTCACAAACTGGGACGGTTCTGGATCGCGAGCAGTGGTTAAAGGAGGCCGAAAAGTGCGAGAAGAATGGCTCGATTTTGACCTGCCAGGCTATTGTTCGTGCAACAATTGGCTTGGGCGTAGAAGACGAAGATCGCAAGGCAACGTGGCTAAGTGATGCAGAGTCATGTATTAACCATGGTTCGATCGAAACGGCACGCGCGATTTACGCGCACGCGCTCAAGGTGTTTCCGGGGAAGAAGTCTATTTGGCTGCAGGCAGCATATCTCGAGAAGGGCCATGGCACATCGCAGAGCTTGGAAGAACTTTTGCAGCGGGCTGTTCGATACTGTCCGCAGGCTGAAGTGTTGTGGCTCATGGGTGCTAAAGAGAAATGGCTTGCAGACGATGTCCAGGGTGCACGTACGATTCTTGAGGAGGCTTTCCGAGCCAATCCTAACAGTGAAAAGATCTGGCTTGCTGCAGTGAAGGTCGAAAGCGAGAGCAGCGAATACGAGCGCGCCCGCAAACTTCTAGAACTCGCGCGAAAGGAATCTGGTACGGATCGTGTATGGATGAAATCGGCTATGCTTGAGCGGCAGCTCAAGAACTACGATGGGTGTCTCCAGCTACTTAAAGAAGGACTTGACAAATACCCCACTTTTGACAAGTTATGGGCGATCAAGGGTCAGGTCGAGGATGAGGCATTAGGTCAGCCTAATATGGCACGCGAAACTTATAACAAGGCTGTTAAGAACTGTCCAAAGAGCACATTGCTCTGGATCCTCCTTGCCAAATTGGAAGAGAAGTTGGGTATGGTGACAAAGGCAAGAGCGACTCTGGAGAAGGCTCGCTACACCAATCCAAAGACGGCCGAACTATGGGTGGAGGGTATCCGTATCGAAGTCCGGGCGAAGAACGTGAGCGTGGCAAAGTCAATGTCTGCGAAGGCCTTGCAAGAATGCCCGACTTCAGGAGCAATCTGGAGGGAGGTGATCTTTTTGGAGGCTCGTCCACAGCGCAAGGCAAGAAGCGTAGATGCGCTGAAGAAGTGCGAGCACGATCCAATCGTGGTGACCACGGTGGCACTGCTCTTCTGGAACGACCGCAAGATCGAGAAGGCTCGCAATTGGTTCCAGAAAGCTATTCAGATCGACCCAGACCAGGGCGATTCATTCGCATGGTGGTACAAGTTTGAACTGCAGTATGGTACGGAGGAGCAGCAGGAGGCGGTCATTAAGCGTTGTGTTGCTTCCGAACCACGCTATGGCGAACACTGGGCTGCTACCGCGAAGGACATGGCCAATGTCGGCAAGCGGACAGCAGAGATTCTTAAACTTTGTGCAGCTAAGCTTGAACCCATCAAATAATGAAATCTACCATAATTCACAGAAGCATACACTTTTTTCCCCAAAATCATAAGTCGCACCCATCACAAAATAAAATCGCGTTTTGCCCAGAATATGCATGATGACAAACCAAATGTCACATGTATACACGGAAATATGTCGCTTGGCAAATGGTCAAGAGCATGTTGTTGATGAAGAAATGTATTCTCGCACTGAATATCTGCGTAGCATATCTTGCAGAAATGAATCTGATCTTACTACCGCACACATTCCCAAGCGAAAGAAGCAGGGATTAATCGCAGTTGCACGGCGCACACGGACCAAGACAAGGTCAGATTTTTCAAACGGATGTTTGAGAAGGTCTTGAGTGCATCCGCTGCTAGGAATCCATGTTCGCTCAGCCTAGAGACGGGCATTTCAGTACGAGAAGGACCCTGACAGCATCTCTAAGAAACCTAGCGCGAGGGATCGTTCGCGTATTCTTGGTGAAGACGCCGCCGGCCACTCGCATCCGCCGTTGCCTGCCCCTCTGCTTCTGGAGTTGCTCCCCCTCTCCTTCTGTTCCTCCGTCCCGCTTATCGCCGGGACATACCTGGCTAACCCCCATGGAAGAGGGTACCATTTAAAGAGTATGGAGAAGAGTCAATATTCTTTGTTGACTCACTATTTTCTGTATTGCTTCCAATATCGATGCGAATTCTTGGTACCTATTGATACGACAATTTTATACAATCCTATGCGTCATCTTTTTGCACTTTGTACGACATTTATTGAAAGATAATATTATTTTGCTATCACGAAGATGAGAGATGAAAAAAGTTGGGGGCGGGGGGGAGAGAAATGGAGGTCTTTTGTAGGGCACTAAGACTATTTGCATGACCGCTGGGGACAAACGGATGAGCTTCTAACTGTGTTTATTCCTACTCCACACATTATTGCTTAAATCACATCTACTCAATTCTGAAGTCATCGTAATTGAAATGCTTCTCCTGTTCGTACGATGTCTTAGTATAAACCCCCTGCAAAATTGATAATAAAAGATCATCGAAGTAGGTACGTACCTATCATATACTTTCCTTCTTCTACTCATTGCCCTTGCCATGACCTTTCCGCCCAAAGCGGACATCAACCGCATCGATGTGCGCAAGTGGAGCCGACTGCCAAAAAAAAAAAATATTCAGGGCAAGTCGATTTGATTGGCTATGGAAATTACCGGGCGACAGCTGGCATTAGACAAAACTAGATCCCGCAACGGGGATTCGAACCCCGGCCTTACTACTGAATGTAGGAAATCCTGACCACTAGACTATTGCGGAAGCTCCTTGAGTAAGCGAGGAATTCAGTTTAACTATTGTCTTCTGTTTCCATTTTTGGCCTTTGCCTGTAATTTGAAGTTCCTGCCTGTTCTGCCTGTTGGAAAGCTTCCAGATGAGGAAGAACGTGTTGCATTATTCACTTTTTGAAGGAGCTTAATTCCTCGCAGGAAGAAAGGACTGTTGAAGTGTAATGTCAGAAAATAGAGGTAAACCAGCAATTCGGGTGATGGAAAGCGGCGCGCACCAAACTTCGACATGTGTCGCCCGTTTATCTCCATTAGAGAAACTGATGGCGCTTTTTCGAGATGTCGAGCCCTGTGAGGAATTTCGTGGAGTTACAGATTCTGAGAGTCCCTTTTGAATGAATTGTCTGGGTCATTAGGCTATGGCTTACTGTTTGGTGACGGTTGTTCGTAGGTAGACAAACACATCGGCAAGCGTTTTCCAGCATCGTAACGTCTCTTTTTTCTGCCTTCAATGTTCCTCATCATTAGACGCCTTGCCCGTGAATGCCGACTTACTACTCCCTTTTCCTGCAGGTACTGCCAATTATACACTATTTTTCAAAACCAAAGTCGCAGGATTGAATGTCACATACATATACGGAAAGATCCGCTTTCTCTTTTATACACTTTTACCTTCTGAAAGGAGCAATCCATTTTTTTATGAAGATGGCCAAGGTCATGTCGTTGATGAGCGTGGCTGTCCTGAACCTATGGACTATGCTATTGATGAGGAAATGTACACACTTCAATCCGTTTGTTCTCACACTGAATATCTGCGTAGCATATCGTGCAAAGATAACCCTGAGCTTACTCCCACACACATTCCCCAGCGAAAGGATACAGACATTTGGATGAAAGAAGCTGGGAACAAGCGCAGTTACACAGCATAAACTGACCAAGACAAGGTCAGATTTCTCAAACTGGTGTTTGAGAAGGTCTTGAGTGCATCAGTTGCTGCAAAACAGCTAGGAATCTATGTTCGTTCAGCCCAGCGATGGGTATTACAGTACGAAAAGGACCCTGACAGCATTTTGAAGAAACGTAGAAGCAGAGGTCGTTCGCGTATTCTCAATGAAGAGCATAAAAGTATTATTTTAGAATGCGTTGATGAGAATCCATCCATTGTCCTAGAGCAGCTGATGGATCAACTGCTCCAAAGAGTCGAGGCTCTCAAAGTATCCAAAGCGACGCTCCATCGATTTATGAAAAAACGAATGCAACTTATTGAAAATGGCTCGGTTTCGGTCTGTAGACAGGAATAGCGATGCAAAAATCCAAGAGCGCCTTGACTGGGTGCGAAGATGGGACAGGGCCTACATTGACTTTAGGAAAAACTGCGTTTTTCTTGATGAATTCGGATCCCTGAATATGAAACGCAGCATGCCATGGTCCAAGAAAGGTACTCCTGCAGTGGTCCTAATACCAAAGATAACCACAAACATGGGAGCGATCCCAGCATCAGGCACCGGTAAATGTAGCTTGAGACTCTCGCAGCCACCAAGCAAGAAAAAAAAAAGAAAGAGAGGGCAGGTCAATCTGAAGTTACGAGCAGAGGAACTGTAACTGGACATTCTCTCAGCTTCCTTAAAACTACCGTGGACGAGATGGATAAGTATGAACATATGAAGGGCCATTATTTGGTAATGGATAATGCACCTATCCATAAGGTTGAGGATATCAATAAATACACCGACTCTCGAGGATATCTTTTACCCTACTCGCCTGAACGTGATCCGAGTGTGCAGTGTTGGTCATTTGTCGAGAGCAAAGTACTTAAAAAGTCAATAGGTTACCCTACTATACCGACTTGTTCCACTCTGCAATCTTTTAATATTTCGGATCCTCTGTAGATAACGATATCAGCCTAACTCAAGTGCCTTGAGAGGAGAGGATATGGGTTTTGGGTGGGATCGTGATTTGGCTGCATCCGTGCAGGTCCGCCACCAGGGCTTCGTCGAGGTGCTTTTGTCTTCGTCTGCTTCTGCCGCTGGTGCTGTCGTCGGTCCATCGCCGCCCCGGTCGTTCCTACCTTTCTTCCCTCTTCCGCCATTGTTGCCGCAATGGCACACCTAGCTACCTTTGGGGTAAGTTAAAGAGTAAGAAGGGGGCTGATATTTTCTGTTGACTAATGGGGCATTTTATTTTACTTTATATGCATCTTGATTTTCTGAAAATAAAGTATGCGATGTTGTGTATCCCACTTTTGGCTTCAGAGAGATTTATTGTTGATGTGTTGGGTATTATTTGCATTTGTAATGTCTTTCCACCCATGCCTTGACGTACACACTGGCTTTAATCATCCGTTTTCCAGCCCATTTGCGATAGAAGGCATCATTCGTGATAGGCTGGGATAGAAAGCTGAGCATCGTGCGCACAACAGGCTTGAGCTCAGGCCAGGTATATCCAGAGAGCTCTACCATTTTATCCGTCTTTTCGTCGTTTCCCGCTGGTGTTAGTTGCGTCCTTGCCTTTCTGTCCGAAAATAAAAAGACTTACCCATGAGCCTTTATCCAGTACACGTTGCGTGAGCCACATGGCAGCCGCAGCGATTTTCGAAGGCGGAATGCCAATGAATCGATGATCGAGACAGGAAATCTCCATAAAATATTTTGCGATTGTGCGGCTTCTGACATCGTGATATTCAACCTTTGCGATCCTTCGGAAGAAGTTCAGCGGATTAGCATAGCAGATGTTAAAGTTGATCGTCTGAAGAATGAAGCGCTCAGCTCTAATGAGATCGGCTTCGGTGAGAGCGTCGTCGGTCATAAAGACGAATTCAGCCACTCGAGGAGAACTCACTTCCTCAAACTTGGTGGCAATGAATAAGGAAGTAATGCCGACAAGCTGCAATTTGTTAATGGAGATAGGGCGCTTCGATAGAAATCGATCGACAATATTGACAGCCAAGTAGAGGGTCTCCGGCAAAAGTTGGAAGAGATAGTGAACTTCGACGATCCAATCGATGAGGACGGCACGAAGCTTCCAGGTGATCTCATGCTGATTGTTCGATGCATAGTTGGGATCGGCCATCGTTTCATGCTAAAATTCTTTCCTGTAAGATGGGAATCATCGATTATTAGAGATTTTCTGTACCTCAACCGATCGTAGATATTCGAAAATCTCTTCCTCATATTCATCAACAAGCAGAGGATCATTCCAGTCAACCACCATGTTATCCTGCGTCCGTATTGCCCGTGCCCGTGCTTCCTGTTCTGATTCATAGGCGAGTGTAGCGTCAATATCTTCTTGGCTGATTTTACAGGAGTGTGGTTCTGTTGAAGCACTCAATTCGGCCACCCCATTATCTGTTTCTGAACATGTCGCATTTTGGCTTTTTTGATCATGTGGTTTTAAGGCTGCTATTGCGCTGGTCTTTTCTTGTGTGGCTGCAAGCTTGCTCTTCATATGTTCGGGGACTTGGATTGGAAGGACAGGGACAGGAGAAATTTTCTTTCTTTCCGATGCAGTGGACTGAGAGCGCTTCGCATTGTCCTCCAAGAAGTCCTTGACATCTTCAGATGGCTGCTTCTGATTTTCGGTTTGTTCTGTGGCTGCTGGTTGTTTTGAAGCTTTGAGCTTGGCAAGCGCCTGATAAGGACATATCATCGGTTCCGTTCATTTCCATAGGTTTCATATTAATATATCAAGATCAAGGGGCGACAGGTTCGGTCGTTTCATACCATTTTTTGCCGAAGGTAGTTGCTTCTGTCCACAAGCGCACCCTTGGGCATGCCGCTCGTGACGTTTGATAATCCTGTCGATGTACTCAAGGCAATGGCGGATTTATTCTGTGAGAGCGTGTCATATGTCGCGTCGCCCTTCCTCTTTATTGTCGATGTCTCTGGTGCGTTTTCATCCGTAAACCCAGGTACATGTTGCTGTAGCTGGTCAATTCGTCTCATTTTTGTAGTTCCAGCAACAAACTATGGTTGTATTACGATGCGCAAACATTTAATGAGATTGTATAGTCGGATTGGTTCAAGGGAAAATGAAAAAAGAGCGATAGCATGCTACGAATGAACTCAAGTAGCCTCTCCACATATTGGCCGATCTTGTCGCTCTTTATTCAGTTGATCCCAGTCCCTCCCCCTGGAAACACAATGGCAGAATAGAAAGATGGCAACTTACAGCTCTCTGATTATTTGATGTCATGAATGCGGGTATATATTAAAGACCTGGAGCTTATGAGGAGTAAGTGAGAGAGAGGGAGGGAAAGAGCTCATTTGAACTCCCGATGTAATTTTTTTTTTGACATTGTTGCGCGCGGCGCGTAACCTACCTGATCGGTGCACACAGGAAAAAAATAAAGCTCTGCGATGGAAGAATATCCTGGGCAAGCATTGAGCATGTTGGTTTTTTAATGCTATCCGCCTGGTTGCCTTGCTCTGCAGATAAAGCTTCGGTTTTAGACATAGATATTGAGAAGAGAGGGTCGCGCGACATTTGCGCGAACCTTGCTGCGTGTTTATTTTTTTGGGGGGCGAGTAAGTTTCGATGTTTGTTTTTTGGACCATGTAGCACTTTTTCATGATAGGCGCCGCAATAAAAAAAACGCGTCTTTTCCAAAACCGCGTAAGTCACAAAATCCCAGAATGCCCTGATCTCGATTAGGCAAGTGGAAGACCTCTGTAGCTTCATTCGGTGGTTGTATTTCCCTCTTTTTCCGTTATCCTTCCTTTGGCTTTCCACGTGCTAACACCACTATGCAGCTCCTTCTTTCAAATCCTGCGTTTGGTTCTTCGAAGCATAGCCTAAAGACCTCGAAGAGCGAGAATGTGCAGACAATACGTAAAAATATAGCAGATCTGCTTGGCACTACCGCTGATTCCATACGGCTCTTTGCTCTTGGAAAAATGGCAGGTTCACAACATCAACCTGGAGGGCAATGGGGAAGGCCGAATTGCTAACTTGGGCAGCATTATTTCAGCTAATGGACAAATGCTCCGATGGAAGTCCTGCACAGCTCTATGGCACATACAACATCAAGGAAAACAC